AAAGCAAATCTGGAGACATGGCTCAGGTGGTAGAACAGCAGAGCACCAGCCAGGAGCAAAACAAGCCCGGTGAGAGACCTCAATCCCAGGTGCCAGCCAACAAACAACAACAACAACAGAAGGACTTTCCCACATGGGCTGCACTAAGCCACTCCTCTGCCTGTTCCCCAGGGGCTATTTATGACTTCTTAGTCGAAAGACACAAAGAACTCAGTGTTTTCAAATTAAATTTGCCCCATCTCAGCCTTCCCTGTGTTGTGATCTGGCCAGTGCTGCCTGGCACGGGCTCCTTCAGGGTGTGGGACAATTCACAGATGGAAAAGCCACATCTGGCCCATCTCTAACGCCACCTGGATTCTGTCATTTATTTGCTTGACTTCTTTATGTTCCGTCTTATGCCAAAACGCCTCACAAGCACAGCCAGCCATTTTTTCTTTGCCCCTCTTTTCACTAGAAGTGAACTCAAAGTTTCCTTAAAACCAGATGCAGCCAGCTCTTTCGTTCCTTCTGGACCACACACTTGAGGCTCATGTGCAGAAACTGAACAAATAAAACCAGAAGGAAAAGGGTGGGGAGGGGGGAATAGTACAAGGCCTGAAGAAAGGAAAATGTCTCTCCAGCCCCCAGCTTCTCACCATTGACAAAATGGGTCTTGCTTTATTCACAACTATGGAAGTTCTTGTAGTCACCCCATGAAGCAATATACCCTGCGCTCTCTTTTTCTCTTTCCTGAAACTAGCCAAAGGATTCAGGTTCCCTTCTTCAGGGATGACTGAGCAGAAAGATTTTTCCATTGCATCTGACTCTGGCTTGTTCTAAACATTTCTAGAATCCTTATGTGTGATCACCATAAACACACGATTTACTCTATAGTTAGTTCAAAACTCACCAAACCACTGGGCCGAGGGTGGCTTATCCCTTTAATCCTAGCTGATCAGGAGGCTGAGATCTGAGGATCACAGTTCAAACCAGCCCGGGCATGAAAGTCCGTGAGACTCTTATCTCCAACTAATCACCAGAAAACCAGAAATAAACCAGTGGCTCAAAGTGGTAGAGTGTTATCCTTGAGAAAAACAGCTCAAGGACAGCAACCAGGCCCAAAACTTAAGCCCCACAACCAACAAAAAACAAAGAAAAACCCTTACCAAACCACATCTGATTATTTCAAAGGGCATCTACTCACTATGTTAATGATTTCTAGTACCATCTATCTGCTACCAATAATGTGCCTGAATCAATCTATATCAATCAGGGACTTGAGACAGACAAGCAACTTAAAGCTATGTGTTAGATGAATAAATGCTTGTGTATAAAATCACTGACTGGAGGCCTAGGCCAAGTCCAGATATCATAATGTCCCTCAAAACTAAGCAGCCTAGGGCTGGGAAGGTGGCTCAGTGGTACAGCGCTTGCCTTGCATGCCTGAAGCCCTGGGTTCGATTCCTCAGCACCACATAAGCAAAAATAAAAAAGCTGGAAGTGGCACTGTGGCTCAAGTGGTAGAGTGCTAGCCTTGAGCTGAAGAGCTGAGGGACAGCGCCCAGGCCCAGAGTTCAGGCCCCACGACAGGACCAAAAAAAAAAAAACTAAGCAGCCTAAAATAACAGCCATTGATGATCTCACAGGGAGTTTCTGCGGCTAAGAAATCCAAAGTAAATCATTTGAATGGCCCTGGCTTGGGGTTTCTGGTAAGATTACCATGGAGAAATGCTGGCCAAGCCTGTGGCCGCTTGAAAATTTGACCTGGACTGAGGGGAACAGGGGCAGGGAGAGGTCTGATTCCAAGATGGTATCCTTACACAGCTGTTGACAGTTGATCTGCTCAAGATACGGACTTTAGCTGGGGGCTGATGCCCATAATGCTAGCTACTCAGGAGGCTGAGATCTGAGGGTCAAGGGTCAAAGCCAGCCAGGGAAGGAAATCCATGAACCATCAAAACCGGAGCTAGAGCTGGGGCTCAAAGCAGTAGAGCACGAGCCTCAAGTGAAAGCGCTCAGGGACAGTGCCCAGGCACTGAGCTCAAACCCTACAACAAACAAAAGATATGGACTGTCCTGCATCTTGTTTGTGTGGTTTCATCATGCAAACTGGCTTTTTGCACAAAAGGAGACTCAGAAGAAAGCTACAGTGTCTTATTTTTTATTTTGCCAGTCCTAGGGCTTGAACGCAGGGCCTAGGAACCATCCCTGAGCTTTTTGTTTAAGGCTAACACTCTACCACTTGAGCCATAGCACCACTTCTGGCTTTTCCTGTTTATGTGGTGCTAAGGAATCAAACCCAGAGCTTCATGCATTCTAGGCAAGCCCTCTACCACTAAGCCCTATTTGCAGCCCTACAGTGTCTTTCATTATTTCAGATGTATCATTGTTATTATATGAGACTCTGGAGCCCAGACAGATCAGGCCTGCTTGACAGGAAGAGACTCTACAAAGGCACATTGCCCTTGAGGGTAGCTGAGAGGCTGGCTACTGTAGGTGCTACACTGTACCCATTCCAGTTTCTTTACTGCTTTTATTTTTGGTCTGAGACTGAGACTTGAACTCGCTACCTGCTCATTTCACTCACTGGCTTGCACTCTACCAACTGAGCCATGCCTCCACCCCCTACTGTTTTTTGTGTTGTGGTGGTAGTTGGTGATGGTGTTCACAGGGTTTGAACTCAGGACCTCGGCCCTGACCCTGAGCAATTTTGCTCAAGACTAGCACTCTACCACTATGAACCACAGTACCACTGCTGTTTATCTGACGGTTAATTAGAGATAAGAGTTTCCCAGACTGGTTTTGAACCTTGATCCTCATATCTCAGCCTCCTGAGTAGCAAGGAATTACAGGCATGAGCCATCAGTGCCAGGCTGATCCATAGATATTTACTTTTACAAAAAGGAACAAAGGACTGCCTGTGAACCATAAATGAGATTACAAATACTGTATTGGAAGCAATCCTTCCCCAATGGATTAGACATTGATAAGGACTCTTTATCAGCAAACTGAGGTGGTTGTTAAACCCTGTTCCCTTGACGCTCAAGGCCTGGGTAGGTGAAGGCACAGATGTGGGAGTTGCCGGCCAGGCTGTGCTGTGGCTCTTGCTGAGGCCAGCGCAAAGGTTTCCTGCCTCCTTTTCCCCCCCATTAAGTCTCAGCACCTGCTCTTCACACTGCATGGAAATTGCCTGCAGATTTTCTGGGTCACCTGAAAATGCTCTGATGTCCTAACAACCACGTGAGTCCCCAACCCCACACTTCAACAGCCAGAAAAATGCCATCCTGCTTCAACACAGGCCACAGCCTATCTCCCAGAGGAGAGTTTTACTTGGTTTAATTAAAGATACATATTTAAAAAGAAAAATAAAACACAAAAAACTGCTCTCAGGCTGGGCATGGGTGGCTCAGGCCTATAATCTTAGCTACTCAAGAGGCTGAGATCCAAGGATCATGGATTGAACCCAGCCCAGGTAGGAAAGCTCAGGGGTAGAGCACTAGCCTTGAGCATACGAATCTACCTGTGATCACACTCAAGCAGAAACCCACAGGGAAACAGGAGAATTCTCTAGAACACTTCCTCCATTGCCAGTATTGGAATTCAACCAAACCCACTGAGCAAGGACTGGAAAGCCAGATGGGGGTGGAGGAACCTCCTTCCACCTGGCTTTCCCTCCCAGACCAGACCTTGCGCTCCAGACATTGGTGTCGCACACAGGTGACAGTCCGGGGTGATTTTCCTTGCGGGGAGGGGGAACGGCAGGAGATTGCAGCTCCATGTGTGCTTATCTGTCTTGTCCTTAACAGCAGTGCATGGTGCCGACAGCACCCAGACCCTGAGTTCAAGCCCCAGACTGACTTCAAAAAATAAATAAAAAATAATAAAGGAAAGGAAAAACAGAAAAATAGATCAACAAGACGCTTTACAAAGCCACTTCAATGTTATAGTAACCCCAAACAGACCATTTCCCAGACACTGTATTATTATAACAAACAAACCCATCTTTCACTCCCTGTCATTTGCAATTACTGTGACATAATTGAAAATCAGTGGGCCTAGGAGCTCTTGCTGTCCCGTGATCTTTAAAGAAACAATACCAACAGTCCTTACTTCAGTATTTTTACTGTTCATGTTGCCAAGACTCTGGAACTATTAATACTCTTAATTCCAAGCCCCTCTTTCCCTAAAGAGGGTGTATTTCAAACGCTTTTCCTCTCCAAAAGAATATTTTCTGCCTCTTCAACAGCTACCACGAGACCTGCACCCCAAGACTTCAACATAATTTTGAAACGATAGGTAAGAGCCAAGAACCCAATTAAGAGAAAATTTATCTTGGAAGAGTTGGGCCAATTCAGTCAATTAAATTATCTAGCACTCTGCTGAGCAACACCATGAATGGTCTAACAAAAAGGCTATGCGTAGTTCCAAAAGAACAGGCCAGGGAGGGCAGGGGTGACAAGTCCCAGGAATCTGGCCAAGTGGTTCTACACAATGCCCTAGACTTCGACACTTCAAGAACTGAGAGAATAGGGGTCCTCAACCTGGGAAGGCTGCAAAACTCAGAGTGTGCCAAACACTGGTAGTACATGCCTGTAATCCTAGCTACTTGGAAGCAGAGATCAGAGGATTGCAGTTCAAAGCCACCTGGAGCAAGAAAATCCATGAGACTCATCTCCAATCGGCCACCAAAAAGCCAGAAGTAGAGCTGTGGCTCAAGTGGTAGAGTGCTAGCCTTGAGCAAAAAGAACTGAAGGCCCTGAGTTCAAGCCCTAGGACAGGCACAAAACAAGAGTTCATTTAGTAGCTCAAAATCTCAGGCCCTGCATTTGACCAAGAACCTCACTGATAGCTTAATGTAGAGAACCAACTAAACCATTAAGCTTTGTGCTCATGCTCAGCCTCTACAAGCTAGAGGAATGGAGTTTCCCCTACAGTCAGAGGGAAGAGGTAGGGGAGGGGACCTGTGCTGGCCCATCCCCTCATCTCTCCCATCCAGCCACTGAGTGGCCAGGTGAACTCACCTTGGTGGCTTCCTCCACACTCTCGCGGAGCGCCTGGAGCTCTGTGTCATACTGCTCCTTCAGCTTCTCCATCTCCTGGTCGTGACTGGAAACTTCCTCTTTCAGGGCACCCTTCAGGGCAGTGAGCTCGCGCTCCCGCTTCCTCAGGAGGTCTTCCTGCTCCTCCTTGGCGATCAGCAGATCCTGGAGGTCCTGCTTGGCCTGCAGGAGTTCCTAAAACGGGAACAGGGGCCTGGGAAGTAAGAAGCAGGACACACACGTCCTTGCGGGTCGGGTCCCCCTCTTCCAGGCGTGCGGCCAGGTGTTAAGAACTGCACAGTCCCAGAGCCCACACGGATTTGGATCTGGGCTGGCTTAACTTTGTGGTATACGCAATGAATTCTTGACTGTATTCTCCTCTCCTCCTTTCTTTCCCTGACTTCCTTGTCCACCCCACTCCCCTGTGGCCCCACCTGCCTCTTGCAAGTACCCATTTCTTGGTGCTTATTTTGTTGGGCTTTTAGTCATTTTGGGGAAAAAAAAAAAAGATTTGCACTAGTTGAGCTCTCCACAGCATCTATTCTACTTCAGTTAATTCACTTGGAACTGCTTGCTGGTCATCCAGCATGTTTACATATAGATTTATGGGCACATTTTATCTACCACCCGCGAGAGAAACCACGCAACCTTTGTTTCTCTGGGTCTGGCTCACGACATTGAATATCATTCTTTCCACGTCTTGCAAGCCTCCAACCTCCCCTAAGCTCATTCCCACCCAGCGACCTTGCTGCGACCTGCCGACCTTGCCCTCTGGGCCAAGCTTGGGTGGGAGGGGACGGGGGCTTCCAGGAATCCGTCCAGCATCACTTTTTATGATCTTTGTGGAGTATAACCACCTGCTTTCTAAGCACCCAAGTTCAGAAACGTGGCAGCAATTCAGGTCTTTTCTCTCATCCCTGTCCTTTACTGCCAAGAAAGTTAGTTCTGCAACCAGTTAGACCCTTCCTCTCCCCTCTCCAGGCTAGGCAGCAATCACCGCTGCACAGGTGTGCTTTGCAATACCTGGTCCCCTGTACAAATGTCCAGTCTCTAACCCGGGGCCCCCATAACAACACACACACACACACACACACACACACACACACACACACACACACACACACACACACACACACACACACACACACACACACACACACACACACACACAGTCCCCTGTACAAATGTCCAGTCTCTAACCCGGGGCCCCCATAACAATACACACACACACACAAAACTTCTGGGGTACCCTTCTCCCTCCCAGTCCTACCACTCTCTGCCTTTCAGAAAACCTTGGAAGGTTCACACACGATGCAACCTCCTTCAAGAAGTATTCCTGGAATGCACTCTCTCTTCCTTTGACACATGGACACTTTTTACCTTACATTCTATGTGCTCTGCTCATTTACTTTATCACCGAAAACAGACTTATTGGCTTCTTGAAAGAAGGATGTAGAAGTGATTTATGATGTATTCCATGTGAGGATCAAAGGTACCAGGAGCCCTTGTTGGTTCTGGATATATCAGAATTCTTCATTTGTGTTTTTTTATTTTATTGGTGTATGTGAGTGTGTATGTGTGCATGTGGCTACAAGGGTTTGGACTCAGAGCCTCATACTCTTACTCAGCTTTTTCTCTTACAACTGGCACTCTACTACTTGAACCAGGTCTCCAGTTCCAGCTTTTCACTGATTAATTGGTATTAAGAGTCATGTGAGCTGAGTGCTGGTGGCTCACACCTGTAATCCTAGCTATGCTGGAGGTTGAGATCTGAGAATCAGAGTTCAAAACAGACTCTTATCTTTAATTAACCACTGAAAAACCGGAAGTAGAGCTGTGGCTCAAAGTGGTAGAGTGCTCATATTTAAGCACAAAAGCTCAGGGACAGCATCCAGGCCCTGAGTACAAGGCCCATAACCAACAACAACAACAACAAATCTTGTGGGCTTTTCTCCCTGAGCTGGTTTCAAACTGCAATCCTCTCAGATCCCAGCCTCTGGAGTCACTGAGATTACAGGTATGAGCCACCCGCTCCAGGCTTAGCTGTGTTTTCCAAATGCAAACACATTTTCTCCTCTTGGATCTCTTAGAGCCTCAAAGCAGCAGCTACCCTTGGGGAATGTAAGCTCTCCAAGATGATAGGCTGGCCTTCCACGCCAGAAGCCTATCACTGGTGAGGGACAGAAACACTTACATCAATGTAAATACAGCTCAAGGCCATCTTTCCTTTCCTGTAGGCCCAGCATATCCCCTGGACCAGGATGAAGGCTACAGCCTGCATCTAACCAATCAGCACTGAGAAGCTAGGAGGGAACACCAGGACAGCCATCCAGCTAACAAGAGAAACCAGGCCCCTTTCCAGGCAGTGGAAGAAAAAGCCACTGACCTGGCACCAAAGAAGGTGGAGCAGCACCTCCCCACAACGACCATGATGTTAGGATTTCCTGGGGCCTCCTGTCTCATGTCTTCTTTCTCTCACAGTTTTTCTACATTGTTTGGAGGATAAGGCAGTTCCTCTTCCCACACTTATCTCGCCTGGGATGGATCTGCACCCTTTGTGGCCCACTGCCAATGCCTGTCAGGATCTGAGGGCTGGTTTATGATCCACTCTAAACCAACAGGCTGTTATCTGGACCTGGGGCTGTTGCTTAAGTGGACCGTGCTGTTCAAGTCCAATCAGATTACACCTTACCACGTCTCCTCCCAGCCCTTCATGCTTTCCAGAGTGGAGACCAAAAGGTACAACAGATTGCAAAATGTGACTTCCCTGATTCAGGGCTTAATTAGATCAACTCCAAGAAGACAGAAAAACCACACAAAGTGCAAAATAGATGTAAACACCCATTTGAGAGGAATGTGTATCTCTGAGGAAAAACTTTGGCTATTTAGAATCAGTGCCTTTCAAAGTTTTATGCATTCAAGAGATCAACTTGCAACAACAAGCAGCCAGGAAATGAAAATCTGTGTGTGTATGTGTGTGTGTGTGCGTGCGTGCATGCGTGCGTGCGCACGCGCAGGTATATACAGGTGAAGGGAAAGACTTAGAAAAGTTGCCTGCATTAGGCAATCGTTCCTAATTTAAAAGAAAAACTGCTATGCAAAGATAGTCATATTCAATGTACATTCTGTAAAAGTTAAACTCTGCAACTTGAGGGTAGGAATGGGATAGGGAGAAATGGGGGAGAACAATGGAGGGGGTGACACTGGTCAAGATCCATCATACTCAACATGATTTGTAGAACTGAAACCCCTTTGTACAACTACTTAATTTAAAAAAATGAATAAACCAGGTGCCAGTAGCTCACATCTTTAATCCTAGCTACTTAGGAGGCTGAGATCTGAGGATTGCAGTACAAAGCCAGCTTGGGCAGGAAAGTCCGTGAGACCTTATCTCCAATACACTACTCAGAAAAAGCCAGAAGTGGTGCTGTGCTTCAAGTAGTAGAGTGCTAGCCTTGAGCACAAAGAGGCTCAGGGACAGTACCCAGGCCCTGAGTTCAAGCCCCAGGAACACCAAAAAAGAATATTAAAAAAAAAAACTGTGCTATGAATTTCCAAAATTCCAAAGAAATGAATATTCACAAAGATGAACATGATTCTCACTGGTAAGTGAATGAACCTAGAACTCTGAGATGGTAAAGCACCTTCTAGGATGGCACAGCCCCTAAGACACAGAGCCAAAATTGGGACCCTCCCCCCCCCCCCCCCCCAGACCCTAACCCACTTCCTCTTTATCACAGGCTGGCCACACAGCCCTGACCAAAAAACCAGTAAGGTTGCTGATGAGGGAGCACTAGTACTGTAAGGCGCAAACAGAATACCGCATGGTTGGGCTGCTAATGCCCACAAAGAGAGCAGCCCCTTGTAAATGCAAGCAGGGAAACATGGCCAGCATCAGAAGGAAAGCTGAGAGACCGGGTCTAGAAGGCACAGGCTGATGTCATTCACGGGCAGCACGTGACTACCCCACAGTAGACTAGAGACACCAGTGACTTGGTCAGTTCTGGGGCCTGAATTCAGGATCTAGGCTCTGTCCCTTAGCTTTTGCACTCAAGGTTGGTATGCTACCGCTTGAGCCACAGCTCTAACTTTCTGGTGTGTAATTGGAGATGAGTCTCAAGGACTTTCCTGCCCAGGCTGGCTTTGAACCACGATCCTCAGACCCCAGCTTTCTGAGTAGCTAGGATGACAGGTGTGAGCCATGGGCACCAGGCTCAGTCTCAATTTTTTTTAAAGATGCCTGCTCCAATATTTAGGAATGAGGTACACTATCGTCCGTGATTTACCTTGAAATGGTTCAGCATACAAATGAAACAGAAGGATGGATGGATAGGTGGGTGGATAGATGGATGGAGGGACTGATGCATGGATGCGTAAAAGGATATGCAAGTGGAACAAATACTGACTTCCACTGGATCTGTGTTGAGGATCTTGGCTACTTGAGGATCTTTGCCTGCTTTTTTCTGTATACTGAAATTTTTTCCAAGACACCTGTACTGGGCACCTGTATATTGGGCACCTGTAACATGATGTGCCCACACAATGTACCAAACACAGAGGTGGCCCAAATGCACAAATGGCTTGTAGCACCACCCAGTCCCCCCCCAGTAGGAGGGGCTTCCCAACCCCTTACCTCAATCAGAGCCCCTTTCTCCCTGTCCTCAGATCTCTTGGCACTGTCTAATTCATCGTGCATTTCTGAGAGCTGGTCCTGCAGATCCCTGATCTCTGTTTGGTGCTGCTCCCGTTCCATCTTCACCTGGAAGAGCCTGGCGGGAGAAGAGGCCCATCAGAGAAGCTTTGGGGTACCGCCGTCCTCAGCTAGTTTGTCTGCGCAGCATCTGAGCCTCACATGCATGCGTGGTCAGCTACAGCCACAAGGCGTCTCCCATTCTCTGTTCTACCCTGAACAAGAGGTTGCCAACCTACTGGCACCTGCTAAGAACCCAGGACCACAGGCCAATACGCATGGGGTAAGAACATGAAGCAACAAATGACACATCTCCCTAGTAGGAGACCACAGCACCCTAGGATTTGAGTGTAAAAGGTCAGGAAATGACCAAAAAAAAAAAAAAAATTAATTCACCCAGGACTCTAAACCAGTGAGTTACGGTCTGTAGACCAAGCCAGATCATGCTTGTCTTGGTAAATAAAGTTACTAGAACACAATATCACACTCATTCATTTCTACATCACTTGTAGCCCATGTTCATGATATAAAGATGGAGGTGAAGAGCTACAAGAAAGAGGGTGGAAACTGAGCACAGGTGACTCACACTGTAACCCCAGTCACTCGGTAGAGGCTGAGAGCTGAGGATTGCAGTTCAAAACCAGCCTGGGAAGGAAAGTCCACTTATCTCCAATAAACTAGCAAAAAGGCAGGAATGGAGCTATTGCTCAAGTGGTAGAGTGCCAGGCCCTGAGTGAAAAAGCTCAGGGACAGTGCCCAAGTCCCAGTATCAGCACAAAGAGAAGAGACAGGAGAGAAAGAAAGGAAAGAGAGGGAGAGTATGAAAGAGAGAAAGAGAAGAAGAAAGAGAGGAAGGAAGGAAGGAAGGAAGGAAGGAAGGAAGGAAGGAAGGAAGGAAGGAAGGAAGGAAGGAAGGAAGGAAGGAAGGAAGGAAGGGAGGGAGGGAGGGGGGAGGGAGGGGGGAGGGAGGGGGGAGGGGGAGGGGGGAAGGGAGGGGGGAGGGGGGGAGGGAGGGAAGGTGAGCAGCATCTATATCATGTGGAGGGCGGGGAGCAGGAAGAGGTAACCCATGGTGGTAGCCATACAAGATCCCAGGAGGGCAAAGGTCAAAGTCAAAGGCTCACTCCTCCAGGTGTTTCTGCAGCTCTCCTTCACTTTCCTCCAGTCGCTGCTGCAGCCTCGCCATCTCTTCCAGCTTGCTCTCATGGCGGCCTCGAAGCTCCTCCAGGCTCGCTCTCATCCTGTCTCTCTCTTCTTTGATGTTCTGTTGATTCTAACGTGGACCCCCAGAGGGTTTGAAACACCTTTGCTGTACATATTACCATCACCCTCCAGAGGGGCTGCCTCCTAAACCCCAGGGATCCCATCTCTTCATGCTTGCATTGTTGAACCTCTGTATACTTAATGAACCCCCAATATTTCCAAAGGAAGAACAAGATCACAGCTAAGCCTCATCCTGCTATTTTTATTACTTTTATTTTTTTTAGTCATGGGGCTTGAACCCAGGGACTGGGCAGTTCCCTGAGACTCTGTGTTCAGGCTAGTGCTTTACCACTTTGAGCCACAGCTCTACTTCAAGTTTTTGATTGGTTCACTGCAGATAAGAGTCTCATGGGGACATTTCTGCCCAGGCTGTCTTTGAACTGCGATCCTCAGATCTCAGCCTCCTGAGTAGCTAGGATGACAAGCATGAGCCACCAGCAACAGACCAGCTCTATTACTTAATTCAGGCGCTTTACATACAAACTATGTACATTTGGTCTTCTACTGGCTTGCCTGAATTCAATGGCATTTCTTTTACTCTGTCCAAGCAAATAATCTCTACACGCTTTGTTTACATTAAAAAAAAAAAAAAGCATGTGGAGAGCGGTAGGTAAATACATAGGAATTTGCTCAGTGATGAGAGGAATGTTTTCCTTTGGGGAGAGCAGGAATGAATGAGCATTCAATTTACCTGGGAATCCCAACAAGTCTAAAACATTTTTATTGTAAGAGACAGAAATGAAAAGGAAGAAGGAAAAGATACCTTGACTTCTTGTTGAAGCTGCTTCTCAAGTTCAGCAAGTTCTAGAGCCAACTTGTTTTTCTGTTCCAATAGATCTTTGAGTTCAGATGAGGAAGCCTATGATTAGTGACAATATGAAAAAGTCTGAATTTAAATATTTGCCATGCTTTCAATTATCCACCCTGAAAATATAAATCTCAGAAATAACAGATGAAGATTCAATTCAAACGCCAAGCCAAGCCCTTCCAGAACCTTCTCTGACTTCCCTGGCACAATGAACCACGTTGGGCCTTCAACGATGCTAGAGACCTTTACCTTACATCACTTAGGCCTTGGAATCTTTTTCTCCAGGGGCCTAACATGACTAAAACTTATATAGGTGTTATATTTGCTGGAAGCCCAAATTCTGTACACAACTGTGAAATATTAAGCTCTCCAAATAAAACTTAAAGATTCTCCATAATCAATTCTAGCCTCTACTTCACAGAAATCACTGGTTAAGGAAAAACAAAAAGTATCAACCAAGTATTTTCATGAAGAAATTCAAAGGGGGAAAAACACACATGCATGCATGTGCACACGCATACAATGTGCTTTTCACCTTTTGTGGCAGGACACAGGTCAGTTCACCATTTCCTAGGAGAATGGCTACCTTAGGAACGTATGAACTTTTGGAGATCAAACACAAATGCTTTTTTTTTATTTAATAAAATCCAGTAAATGATCTTTGGAGTACTACTTCTAATCACAATACAGCAGCTCATCACAGACTCTTGAGGCAAAGCCTATTACAAAATGCATGAAAAACTAACCAACATAAGGCTATAATCTTAAAAAGAGGAACACATAATTGAGGCACCAATGGCTCACATCTATCATCTTAGCTACTTAGGAGGCTGAGATCAAGAGGACCACTAAAGCCAGTCCAGGCAAGACAGTGAGACTCTTATTTGCAATTAACCACCAAAAAGCTAGAAGGAGAGCTGTGGCTCAAGTGGTAGAGCACCTGCCTAGCAAATGAAAGGCCCTGAGTTCAAACCCCAATATAACACCAAGAAATGATCATGATTAATATATAATAAAGACAGATCTATTGCATGAAATTATACCTAAAGCCCATGGTTATGATCCTTTGTTCCTGAGCTCTCATCACCCAACTGCCAATGAGATGTGTATCCCTCCCTCTCTGCATAGTCTAGCAAGAGAGTAGTAAATAAAGATATGCATAAAATGACTTTCTCTTTTTAGATGTTTTATTTCCACAATAGAGAGTTAAACCGAGTCTGAGAAAATTGTATCCCTGATCTGAACGTGAATATTTAAATGACTTTTTTCTTCCATTTTCTCAAAAAGAGTTGGCTAACATCTTACAGTGAAGCGATTAGAAAACTGCAAGAAGTTGAAGGGAAAAGATAAAAGTATCAGTTAAAGCTACAAGAGGCACAGTCTTGGCTCAGCGTCCCAGAATCCAGGTGTGATGTAAACCTGGAATGAGGAACCTCCCACTGACTGCTGGGAAAGGGACTAGAACCAGATAGCAAGTGCCTAAGATTTCCAACCTTCTTAGGCACACAAGAGCGATTCAATCCTTAGAAATGTTCATCCAACCAGTGGGGGATTTCCAAAAACAAAAAAGAAAGAGAAAAAAATAATCCTACTTGCCAGTGCCATTTCCCAATATCCATAAAGGAGAAAAGGCTCTTACACTCTCTCTTAAGACAACCAGTGAACAAACACCTAAGACATAAAACTCCAAAACCTTTGCCTGCCAGCAAATAATCAGATTTGGAACAGAAGGAGGAGAGATGAGGGAAGGAAAAAATGTAAGCAATTCAAATTGGGCACTGTGATCAGAGCCAGTAAATTCATCTTCTCATCTCTCACTCAAAGCAACAGCTTATTTGATATCCCTCTAATCTCGTTTCTGTCCAAAAGCCACAAAAAGGAAGTTTTACAAATGTGACCATTTCATGTCTGTTTAAAAAACCCATCATGAGCAAGGCACCGGAGGCTCACACTTATCACCCTAGTTACTGAGGAAGTAGAGATCTGAGGATTGAGCTTCAAAGTCAGCCCAGGCAGGAAAGCTCATGAGACTCCTACCTTCAGTTAGCCATCAAAAAGCCAGAAGGGTCAGGTGCTGATGACTCACTCCTGTAATCCTAGCTACTCAGGAGGCTGAGATCTGAGGATCACAGTTCAAAACCTGTGGGTCTGGGTGCTGTCCCTCAGCTCTTCAGCTCAAGGCTAGCGCTCTGAAGCTACAGCCCCACTTCCAGTTTTCTGGTGGTTTATTAGAGAGTCATGGATTTTTCCTGCCCAGGCTGGCTTTGAGCCACAATCCTCAGATCTCAGCCTCTTGAGTACCTAGGATTACAGCGTGAGCCACAGGCGTCTGGCTTTTCCTTTGTTTTGGGGGGGCACCGTCTGCTTTTTTAAAAAATCTAAATGTTATTGTAAAGGTGATGCATGGAGGGGTTGCAATTACCTAAGTCAGATAATGAGTAGTACATTTCTTTTTGAACAGTGTCCCCTTCCCTCTTGCCATATGCTTTTGTAGAGAGGCAGATTTTGACAAAATGAAGGGCAAGGAAAAAGCAGCAGATCACACAATGTAATAATATAACATGAGACTGACAGAGTTTCTCCCTGTCAACTAAGCTGTAAAAGGTGTCCATGGGAATTTTTCTTTTTTTTAATTTTTAATTTTTCTTTGCCATTCCTTTTTAAACTATTATTTTAATTCATATGCTTGGTTAAAAAATCACATGTAAAAAATCTGCTAATTAGGGCCTATTTTATGTATATGTACACACACAGAGCATAATCATGAGCTGGGGGCTAGGGCAATACTGAGTTAAAAAAAAAAAAAAAAAGTAGTTGATGTACAGAAGGATCCAAAGTTGCAGAGGAAGTTTCCAAAGGTAAAAGCACATCTAGGGACAAACCTTGTGTTCCATCCTATCTCCTCCCTCCCTTTTGATGTAGACATCCAACGGAAGGCACAGAAGAAGAATGGAGTCCTAACACAAAATGGGATTGGACCAAGGAACAAGGGTTTTAGCCTTCCTCTATAAAATACTTCCTTTCAGGGCACAAGTCATGCCTACGTTAGATTTTAATTAAATACAAGTTGGCTTTTTCTTTTAACCAAACACATCTCTTGAGTCGCAAGTCAAGTTTAGCACAATTAAACTAGCGGTGTTTTTTTAAACATTTTTGTTGTTGTTGTTACTGGTTGGGCTTGGGCACTGTCCCTCAGCTCTTCAGCTCAAGGCGAGCACTCTACCACTTGAGCCGCAGCACCACTTCCAGTTTTCTGGTGGTTAATTGGAGATAAGAGTCTCACAGACTTTCCTGTCCAGGCTGGCTCTGAACCGTGATCCTCAGATCTCAGCCTCCTAAGAAGCTAGGATTATAGGCATGAGCCACCGGCATCTGACTAAACTTTTTTTTTTTTTTTAAGTCATGCCTGCAATTCTAGCTACTCAGGAGGCTGAGATCTGAGGACTGCAGTGCACAGCCAGCCTAGAGAAGAAAAGTCTATGAGATTCTGATCTCCAATCAACCAGCAAAAAGCTGGAAGTGGACCTGGGGCTCAAGTGGTAAGAGCACCAGCCTTTGGGGGTGGGGGCACTCAGACAGTGCCGAAGCCCTGAGTTCAAGCCCAAGGCCCAGCACAAAAAAAAAAAAAAAAAAAAAAGAAAGCGAAGGAAGGAAGGAGAAAGGAAGGAAGGGAGGGAGGGAAGGACAAGAATTTGTTCGCACTCCGCTCTTAGTCCTTACTCTCCAGACTTCCCTCCCCAATTTGCAGGCGACAATGCTTTGGTATTCCATCTACTAGTTCTTTTCATTCTTCTGACTCTTATTTCCCCTGCTAAATTCTGCCACCTGTTTATGTCATCTTATTACCTTTCAGGTCTTATAAAATATCTCAACAACTTTCTGGGGAAAAATAACAGGATACAATCTAAAATTACAAGTTGATTATCTGTTATCCAAAATGCTATAGAGTTATCTCAGAGTGATGGTATTTTTGGATTTGGGGATATTTGCACAGACAACAGGATATTTTGGGAACCCAAGTAGAACCACGAATTTTAACTGCCTTGTATACTGCCCAAAGGTAATCTTATGCAATGGTTTAAATAACTTTGTGCGTGAAGCAGAGTGTGTATGTGTGTGGTTTTGTGCCTGTTTTTTGGTTCGTTTGTTTTGTGCCAGTACTGGGGCTTAAACTCAGGGCCTGGACACTCTAACTTTTTCACTTATGGCTGATACCCTGGCACTTGAGCGACAGCTCCACTTCTGACATTTTGATATTTAATTGGAGATAAGAATCTCAGACTTTCTTGCCTGGTTGGGAAAGATTCGCACCTTGATTCTCAGATCTCAGCTCCTAATTAGCTAGGATTACAGGCGCGAGCCTCTCGTGCCCAGCTGTGCCTATGTAACACCTGAGGTTTTGCATTTTTGTGCAGTTCAGGTTTCAGGAGTAGAGTTATTCAACCTGTTCTTAGAGCCAGATGCTCAGGAATTGTCAGGGACCTTCCCAAAGCAAGCTGTGGACTACCATCCTCATTAAAGTTATCCTGAAAAAAAAAAAAAAAAAAGCAAAAGTTCAATTTACTTGATTATTTCCTTGTGTGCTCCCCGCTGCGCGAGACTTTAAGGTTTGGATTTTCTCGAAGACCAAGTTGACTTTCCTTTTAGTGGCATCCTCATTGTCTGTGCTTCTGAAAAGGAAACGACAAAGAACACAATGAGATACACGCCAGCGGGCCCAGACTTCTCATGTGCCAGGACTCACACCCAGGAAAGCCCTTTGAGATAAATCACAAAGCGCTAGGAATGAAGGAGAAATGTAGGCTAGATGGTGTTAATTTTCTTCAAATAGATGGGTAGATGTTATCCCTCAATCTGAGATGGGGGCTCTCATTTCAAAATATGTGAAAGAAACATTCTGGCCAGGTGCTGGTGGCTCACGCCTGTAATCCTAGCTATTCAGGAAGCTAAAATCTGAGGATCACAGTTTGAAACCAGTCCAGACAGTAAAGCCCGTGAGAGTCTTATCCCCAATTAGCCACCAGAAAACCAGAAATGGCACTGTGGCTCAAAGTGGCAAAGCACTAGTCTTGAGCAAAATATCTTAGAAACAGGGCCCTGAGTTTAAACCCCACAACCAAACAACAACAACAAAAAGCTTAGAGAAAGCATACAAAGGAAATTCAGTCATTAGTTATTTGATTCACATGACTTATTCACTCAAAAAGTTTTTAAATTTTGAAGACAATGGGTTTGAACTTAGGGCCTTGCACTTGCTCAGCTTTCCTGCTCAGCGGATGTTCTACCACCTGAATCATGCCTCCAGGCTGGGTTTTGCTCTTTGTTTTCTTTCCCCCAGAGATAGCAGACTTGTCCTGCCTGGGCTGGCTTCAAATCTCCATCCTCAGATCTTAGCCACTGGTGTAGATAAGCACTCACACAGGGGAGAATTCTCCTTTACTTTTTTTGGTCGGTCATGGGGCTTGAACTCTGAGCCTGGGCACTGTTCTTCAGCTCAAGGCTACTGCTCTGCCACTTGAGCCACAGCGCCACTTCTGGTTTCCTGATGGTTAACTGGAGGTAAGAGTCTCACAGACTTTCCTGCCTGGGCTGGCTTTGAACCGTGATCCTCAGATCTCAGCCTTCTGAGTAGCTAGGATTACAGGTGTGAGGCACTAACGCCTGGCTTTCTCCTTTTCTTTATGTATGTGTGTGTGTGCGTGTTTCACACACACACATTGTACTTTAAAAATCTTACCATAAGAACAAGCTGTAACAATTTACCTTTAGGCTTAGGCCTAAAAAATAGTAAGTGCCAAGACAGCTCACATAGCAGCCTTTGCCTGGACCTCTGCATCACGTAGCCATCAGGCCCAACTTTGTTAACTCCTACCACACCTCCAGCAATGAAAAGATTTCAAATAAAATGCCTTTAACAGACATCTCCCATTCTAGTCTGTCTCACCAATCCTGCAATAAATCAAGCACACGCACACGTGTGTGCACGCACACACACAAAAAGAATTCAAAGAATTTTAAAAATTAAAAGGTCTCCTACCTTAAATCTTCTCATGGTAAAGCCCTTCACAGAAAAATACTACTAACTAGTGCTTAGCTCCAACAACCCCTGCCATTAACTTCTTTGAGAGTTCTTGTATTACACCTTGACATGTATCAGCCATACATTACACAAATATTTGTAAGGCACAATACAAAAATAAAGATTTCTGATAGCCAGGAGTGAGAGTCAGCTGACTTACTGTTATGTCAACCTGTAAAGCTTTTTATGCTACTTTTTTGGGGGGAAAGGAGGAGGTACCAGTCCTGGGCTTGAACTCAGGGCACTGTCCCTGAGCTTTTTTACTCAAGGCCAAAGCTCTACCACTTGAGCCACAGCTGTACTTCTGGCTGGCTTTTGGTAGTTAATTGGAGATATGAGTCTCATGGACTTTTCTGTGCTGGCTGGATTGAACAATGATCCTCAGATCTCAGCCTCTTGAACAGCTAGGATTACAGGTGTCAGCCATTAGTGCCTTGACTTTTTTGTACTTTTTAATCCTCTGATGGAACTGAAACGAAGACTTCAAATTCCTCCTCTGTAATTCTAGCATCTAAGATACTAGAATTTCTAGTACCAAAGAAAGAACTGCAAACCAGACCACTGGGACTCAATTAAGTACACTGGGCCAAAGTAAGTATAGAACACACTCTCTCCAAATGGCTCATATGTAGAAGAAGTGAAGGAAGAGGAGGAAGAAGAGGAGGAGGAAGAGGAATAGATGGAGGAGCAGCCAAAGAAAAGGAAGAGAGGAGGCCAGGTGCTAGTGGCTCACGCCTGTAATCCTAGCTACTCATGAGGCTGAGATCTGAGGATGATGGTTCAAAGCCAGCCCACGCAGAAAGCCCTGGAGACATTTTTTGTCCATTATGGAACTTGAACTCAGGGCCTAGGTGCTGTCCCTGAGCATGTTTGCTCAAGATTAGCATTCTACCACTTTGAGCACTTAGGGTTTTCTAGTGGTTCATTGAGTTCACAGACTTTCCTGCCTGGGCTGGCTTTGAACTGTGATTCTCATATCTCAGCCTCCTGAGTAGCTACGATTACAGGGGTGAGTCACTGGCACCCAGCTTTCCTTGACACTCTTATCTCCAATTAACCACCAAAAAACTGGAAGTGAAGCTGTGGCTTAAGTAGTAGAGAGCTAGCCTTGATCAAAAGAGCTCAGGGACAGCGCCCAGGCCCTGAATTCAAGCCCCACAACCAAAAAGAGGAGGCGGAAGGGAAGAAAGAAGAAGAAGAGGAGGAGAGGGATGACGTTGCTGAAGGAAGATAAGCATCAGCAGGGTATAGTGGCTCATACTTATAATCCTAACCACTCAGGAGACAAGAGAGAGATGGGGAGGCTATGGTCCAGGCCAGCCCATGCATAAACAGGAGATCCTATTTTAAAAATAGCTAAAGCCAAAATGGACTGAAGGTGTGGCTAGCAAGCTTGAGGCCCTGAGTTCAATCCTCAATACAGACACAATGTTACCGTGCACGAAAGCAGGGGCCACTCTGGAGTGAGGCGGAACTGACCTCATCTGTCATTTCTACTAACAGACAACTGAGGGCTGCTGGCTGCGGCAGAGCTCAACAGGGTGACAGACCCAGCTCGGAATGGACAGGCAGATATTCTTCTGTCCTTGGACTTGATTATGCAGGAGCAGAGTCGTTTTCAAAGCATGACATCCTCCCTACACACCCTGAGCCAGGTCAGTATGAAAACTGTAGCCACTGACACTGAACCCTCAAATGGCTCACAAGACTCAAAGGCTTGGGGAAGAAAATCAAGGAGCCGCTAGGTGCTACTGGCTCACACCTGTAATCCTAGCTACTCAAGAGGCTGAGATATGAGGATCGCAGTTCAAAGCCAGCCCAGGCAGGAAAGTCCATGAGACTATCTCCAATTAAGCACCAGAAAACCAGAAGTGGCTCTGTGGCTCAAGGAGTAGAGTGCTCGCCTTGACTGAAGAGCTTAGGGACAACGACCAGGCCCAGAGTTCAATCCCCACGACCAACCAAAAAAAAAAAAAAAAAAGAAAAGAAAAGAAAATCAAGGAGCACCTATAATACCAGCCACTCAGGATGCAGCGATGAGGAGGATCACAGTTCAAGACCATCCTAGACAAAAAGGTCACTAGACTCCTCCAACTCAACAAACACACTGACAATTCTAGTACCTACCTATCATCCTAGCTACATGGGAGATGTAAGTCAGAGAATAGAGGCTTGAGAACAGCCCTGGGCAAAAACTTGAGCCCCTATCTGAAAAATAACTAAAGGCAAAACAGGGCTGGGCTAGGGGAATGGCTCACAGGGTAAAAGAAAAAAGCACCTGCCTAGCAAGTATGAGGCCCTGAGTTCAAATCTCAGAACTGCAAAAAGAGGGGAGAAGAAGGGAGGGGAATCACTCACCCTTCTTTCAGGTAATTGTAGAGTATCTGCTTGGCTGTCTCCTCATTGGTTTGTCGAGTGAGCTCTTGCTGGCCCTTCAAGAGATCCGGTGTGGCCTGGAACAAAATATTGTCTGTAATTAGACACAGGTGATGCTACAGGAAGATGGCAGAACGTTGAAGCACATGCATACAAACCCAGTTCTACTTTCCAAAAAAAAAAAAAAACGATTTCTCCAGGAATCGGTTCCAACACGGATTATTAGACTGTAACCCTGGGCAAGGGCCTTACCTTCTCCTCCCCCTTAATTTTCTCACCTATAAACTAAAGCTTACATCACCTACCCTCATACAGCCAGTGTTAACCTCGAACATAGGACACACGGAGCCTGGCACTTAACTGACTTGGTCATCCTCTCATCATTATTTTTTATGGTTACTACCAAAACACTCAAAGTACCACTTAAAAGATCCCATCACTCACCATTAACCTCAATGAGGATTAGCCTAGAGTTCAGACCAGATATTGAGCTACCTCGTCACTCAATTTCATGACTTAAAATATTTAGGTGGAAAGCCAAATCTAACCCTGGGACCGCCCGTGTGGAAAGTGCTTCTCCACACCTCACGCCTGAGAAATTCCAGTCACTCAGGAGGCAGAGATCAGGAGGATCAAATTCCCCAGACCTCCAGGTTTCATATATTTTCAGAGAAGTTGAGCTTTTCACACTGTTTCCCTACTGTTTCTTTTTTTGTTGTTGTTGTTGGTTGTGGAGCTTGAACTCTGGGCCTGGGTGCTGTCCTTCAGCTCAAGGCTAGCGCTCTACCACTTGAGCCACAGCGCCACTTCCAGCTTTTTCTGCTTATGTGGTACTGAGGAATCGAATCCAGGGCCTCATGTATGCAAGGCAAGCACTCTACCACTGAGCCACCTTCCCAGCCCCAACTTACAGATTTTTTTTTTAAAGAAATAAATAAGATAACAAAAAGAAGTAGAAGACAACAACGACGACTAGGTAATTGGCAATAGGATATAATCAAATGCTAAGAAAATCAGAAACACAATTAGCAATAAAGGATTGAGGCTCTGGGCTGCGTACAATGAGGGACCATTGCAATCCCAGCTACTTGACAGAGACAGGAGGATCACAGATTCAAGACCAGCCCATGGGGAAAAAGAGTTACTGAGAGTTTCATCTCAACAAACAAGCTGGTGAGTCACACTTGTAATTCCAGCTATGTGGGAGGCCATAGGTAGGAAGCTGTTAGTCTGAGGCCAACCCCAGGCAAAACTACAAGACCCAATAGGCAACAGTGGCTCACGTCTAGCTACTCAAGAGGCTGAGATCTGAGGATCACAAAAATCTGTTAAGACTCTTAACACCAACTCAACACCCAAAAGCTGAAGTGGCACTGTGGCTCAAGTAGTAGAACACCAGCCTTGAGTACAAAGCTCAGGGACAGTGCTCAAACCCCAGGACTGGTGTGGGCACGCATACACGCATACACGCATACACGCACACACGCACACACACACACGCGCGCACACACACACACACACACACACACAAAAGTAAAACCCTACCCGAAAATAATGAAAGACCTCTAAAGCAAAAAAGGGAATAGGGCTATGGTTCAAGTGGTAGAGCACCTGCCTAGCAAGTATGAAACCTTGAGCTCTAATCCCAGTAGCACCAAAATAAAGATTGAGAGTTCGTATCACTACAGCCTCTTGTAGCTTGAAATAAACGAATAAAATAGAGCTGGGAAGGTGGTTCAGTGGTAGAGTGCTCTTGCATGCATGAGACCCTGGGTTTGATTCCTCAGCACTACATAAGTAGAAAAAGCCAGAAGTGGCACTATGGCTCAAGTGGTAGAGCACTAGTCTTGGGCTGAAGAGTTGAGAGACAGGGCCCAGGCCCAGAGTTCAGACCTCACAACCGACAAAATAAATAAAATAAAATAATAATAACAACAATAGCATAAACAACCTAGAGACTGGGCACTGGTGGCTCATGCCAGTAATCCTAACTACTCAGGAGGCTGAGATCTGAGGACTGAGGTTCAAAGCCAGCCCAGGCAGGAAAGTCCATGAGACTCTTATCTCCAGTGAATCACAGAAAAGGCCAGGGGTGGAGCTGTGGTTCAAGTGGTAGAGCCCTAGCTTTGAGCAAAAAGAACTCGGGAATAGCGCCCAGGGCCAGAGTTCAAGCCCCAAGACAGCAAAATAAACAAACCCAAACAAAACAAAACTACAGCCCCCCCCCCCCCCCCCCAACGCCTCCGGAATCACAAAGGTGCTACCTGAGCATCAGTACTGGAAGGAAATGACTTCACAGAAATCTTCTTGGTCACAGAGTCAGGCAAGGTGGCCGTCGCCCGACTCTGCAACATCAGCGTCGCAGTGGCTGTTTTGATTTCTTCTTTTTTACTTGGCACAGGAAGGGAGGAGGATGCACGGGTCACCACCACGCTTTCCTGACTCTCTTTGTTTTCTGGCACTTTCCTGTCTGGGGGCTGCTGGGGAGGCCCAGGGTGTGCCCCCTGGGCAGGCTGCGGGTCTGCTGGCGGCTTTGCACCGGCCCGGATAGCGTTGTGCTGGCCACGCTGCTCTGGGGCCAGAGGCCTCTGCGGACACAGCTGTGACGGGCGCAGCAGGTGCTCGCTGGACTTGCCCAGGTTCCTGGTGAATTCGCTCAGGTACTCCGCGTTGCCCTGGAGCCCGAAGGGAAAGGCGCTGTCCACGCTTCGAGACCGTTTCCTGTCCTCTGGATTGATTCTCCCTCGCTTCCCAGACCGGCCTCTTCTCGGTAGGAGCCCGGATTTTCCATCAAATTTCTCAATCAACTCATCCACACCGGGCATGGAACCGGTATCGATATCTCGCCCAGTGCCCGGCAAGAACGGGATGTACCTGCGATTTTCGTGGCGATTGACGTGGTCCGCGTGGATGGCATCCTGGTCATCCAGTAGAAATCGGTACAGAGAGTTGGCAGACGTGGGCGTGGTGGAGGCCGATGAGGACCTTCGCGACCGGCCTCCATCCAGGACAGGCCCTGCTGAATCTTGTCGCCGGAAAGGAAGGACATCGGGCCGGGCTTTCTTGGCTTCAGGGTGGCCCTGTGGGCTGTGAGAAGCTGAGGCGCTCCCGCGGCGGGGGGAGGCCTCTCTCACCCCATCTTTGGAACAGCTCTGGACATTCACACACACGGAGGTCTGCTTTTGGGGATCTTCAATGACCACGGAGCTGCATAGCCGGATGGCGGTGACCCCAGTCTTATCCAGGTCCTCCCCGGGAGGGCTGGGGCACGGAGGAAAGCAAGTCCAAGATGTCTTACTGGGGGTCCCTTCTGCTGTCACCTTTGTAAGCCAGGGGCTGTCAGGAGGGTGTTGGCTCTTTTGGGGGTCATAGGGCTGCAGAAGCTCTGGGTGTCTCTGGCAGTTGAGGAGGTGGGATGGCCTCGCCGGGCCACCTTTCCGTTCCAGAATGCCATTCTTGCCCTCGTGGAGGGAGGATGGCTTGAGGTGTCGTACGGGGCTGGGCTGGGCATATGGATTCTCAGGGATCTGCAGTTCTGAGCCGGACTCCTTCAGTACGGACCCATTGCTGGCATGGAGAGGCACGGTGTGGATGGTGGGAGATGGAAATGATGCGCCATTGTCAGGGAAAGAGGGACGGGCTAGACAGCGTTCTGTGTTATTTAGGACAATGTACGGGTGGCCATCAATCCCTTGGACCCTGATACTGACGCCGTACGAGCCTGTCTTAGAGGGCTGGGAATTCCTTAAGGATTTGGTCTCATCACTGGCAAGTCTCAGGTGGACACCATATTCCTGTTGCACGTGCTGGTATTCACCAAAATACAGCTCCATGGTTCACTGGGCCAACTGCAGGAGCAAGAGACAGGGGACAGAAAGACATTAAGTTAGAGTGTCAGCTGTTTATGTGACAATCAGGATCACAGTAAGGGAGAATTATCCAAGAAAACCAGGCACGTAAGAAGTGGCGCTGTGGCTGAAACTGGCAGAGCACTGGCCTTGAGTGAAAGAGCTCAGGGACAGCACCCAGACCGCAAGTTCAAGCCCCATGACCGACCAAAAACTAAAACAAAAAACAAGCCAGGCACGAGTGGTGGTATACGCTGGTAATCCAAGCTGCTCAGAAGGTTGAGATCTGACGATCACAGTTCAAAGCCAGCCTGGGCAGGAAAGTCTGTGAGACTCTTATCTTTAACAAATTACCAGAAAACTGAAGTGAAGATGTGGTTCAAAGTGGTAGAGTGCTAGCCTGAGCAAAAGAGTTTAGGGTCGGTGCCCAGGCCCAGTGTTCAAGCCCACGACTTAAAAGAGAAAAAGAAAAAAGAAAACATGCGACTTTATAAAGCAGGTACTTCAGAACCAAAAGCTGACCAGCTGCCCTCCCCTGACCCTGGCACTAACCTTGACCCTTGCTGGGTGCCTTTGAGCTTGACAGCCCTGAGCAGAAGCCCAGCCTAAGGGCAGTCACTACTGTATAGATCTGATGTCTTGGCATGCACAGTTGGGCTCTTCTGTTTCTAGTTCAATGCTAGGTTGGTTTCCTTGCTTAATGCTATTTATTTTTAACCAATAGGATGTTCTGCATACCAGCATTTGAGAACAAGGTACTTTTCCACACAGATAGTTAAGAGCTCTGAGGTTTAGTGGGGTTTTTTTCTTTTCTCTTTCCTACCTCTTATTTATTTATTTACACACAAACTTGCTCAGATGTCTTCAACACTATTTGAATGCAGGATTTCAAACAGTTTTACTTCTTAGCAATCAACTGTGTGTAAAGCGAACAAGGACAGTAATTTTTTTCAATTTTTTCAACCTTTTCTTACCAAAAAAGAGTTCAAGTAGTATATTCATATGAAAAATGGTATTAAAAAAAAGATGAGCCGGGTGCTGGTGGCTCACGCCTTTAATCCTAACTACTCAAAAGAGGCTGAGATCTGAGAATCTCGGTTAAAATCCTACCCAGAAGAAAGTCTAGGGCTGGGAAGGTGGCTCAGTGGTAGAGCGCTTGCCTTGCATGCTCGAGGCCCTGGGTTCGATTCCTCAGCACCACATAAACAAAAAAGAAAAAACCGGAAGTGGTGCTGTGGCTCAGGTGGTAGAGTGCTAGCCTTGAGCTGAAGAGCTGAGGGCAACGCCCAGGCCCAGAGTTTAGGCCCCACGACTGGACCAAAAAAAAAAAGAAAAGAAAAGTCCATGAGACTGATCTGCAATTAGCCAGCAAGAAGCCAGATGTGGAGCTGTGGCTCAAGAAGCAGAGCAATAGCCTTGAGTTTTTTTTAAAAAGTTCAGGAAGTGCTGCTGCGGCTCAAGCAGTAGAGCGCTCGCCTTCAGCTGAAGAGCTCAGGGAAAGTGCACAAGCCCAAAGTTCAAGTCCCACAACTGACAAAAGAAAAAGTTCAGGGACAGGGCTCAAGCCCTGAGTTCAAGCCCCAGGATTGGCATACACACACGCATACACACGCATACACACACACACACACACACACACACACACACACACACACACACACACACACACACACAAAATCACCAACATCACTAGCCTTGTACTTCTTAGAAGCATTGTTAAATAAAATACTTGAACATCAGCTCTGCCATGCCTTAATAGCCAGCTTGCTAGGCTGGATGGCTACTAGGTAGCTGGTGGTGGGTGGAGCCTACAGCGTGGGCACACTGGATAAAGGGGTGCATGATTTGCACCCTCAGCTGGGTGGTGTGAGATTTCATCATGCTTCTCAGAACAGCACTCGAAACTTACACTTTATTTCTGGAATTTTCCATAGGATGTTTCAGACTGCAGTTGACCACAGGTAAGTGAAACCCAGACAAAGGAAGGCTATTCCACTTCCTCCTGCTTTTTACCTTGTTGTTCTGAAGTCAACAAGATAGAATTTCATGGATGTTTCATGTATTCACGTTGTTGTTTAATGACACAACTTAGGATAGTCAACTCCTAACAAAGCTGAAAACTGAAGTTAAGCCCAGTACCAGTGGCTCACGCCTGTAATCCTAGCTACTCAGGAGGCTGAGATCTGAGGATCATGTTGCAAAGCCAGCCAGGGAAGGAAAAGTCCATGAAACTCTGATCTCCAATTAACCATGAGAAAATCCAAAGTGGAGCTGCGGCTCAAAGCGTTCCTTGAGCAAAAGAGCTCAGGGACAGCGCCCAGGCCCGGAGTTCAAGCCTCATGATGGACCAAAGAATAAAATTAAAACATACAACTGAAGTTAAGATTTTTCTACCCTCAACAGAGGTAACAAGTCCAGAACTAAAACAGACCACAGAGTATTTAAGAACCCTCTTATCTCTCCACTCCTCTGTCCCAAGCATATATTAGACACCTTTTGATTACACAGCAGTCTGATCCAGCATCACCCATGCCAAAGGACTCATCGAGGCAAGTCCAGACTCACCCTGAACTAGTATCTTAATCCTTTACATCTTGTTGCTGAGGACTTAATCATAGGGCCACCCCAAGCTACAAGAAAGGTTGGGAAATAGGGAGTCTTAACCGGCCATTGACATACTCAACAAAAATCAGTGCTCTGTTAGTGCAAAGGGAAGTAAGAATCACCTTGAGAAGACAGCACAGTAATGTTCCTGGGACTGGTTTCTAGATAATTTCCATTTGTGGTCTTGAGTTCTTTTCTGAATCTAAAGAAACATTTTCAGGGCTGGGAAGGTGGCTCAGTGGTAGAGTGCTCGCCTCGCATGCAAGAGGCCCTGGGTTCGATTCCTCAGCACCACATCAGCAGAAAAAGGCTGGATGTGGCACTGAGGCTCAAGTGGTATAGCTGAAGAGCTGAGGGACAGCGCCCAGGCCTAGAGTTCAGGCCCCATGACCCACCAAACAAACAAACAAAAGAAACATTTTCAGATTTTTCCCCCTCACAGCTAGCATTTGTTCTACTGTTTAGGCTAGAGGGCCTTTGATTCTAAACGCTATTAATTTCTACTCATATTGTGGTAAAAAAAAAAAAAAAATTTAATGGCCTGAACTCTACCGTTTTGAATTGACTGAGGCTTTCTTTGTGGGCAAATACATGAATAATTTGTGTGTATGTGTGTGCTGGTACTAGGGCTTAAACTCAGGGCTTGAGGGCTATCCCTGAGCTTTTATGCTCAAGGCACTCTACCATTTGAGCTACAGCTCCACTTCTGACTTTTTGGTGGTTTATTGGAGATAAGAGTCTTACAAACTTTCCTGCCTAGGCTGGCTTTGAATGGTGATCCTCAGATCTAAGGCTCCTGAGTAGCTAGGATTACAGATGTGAGCCACCAGCACCCAGCTAGATGAATACTTTTTTTGTCAATGTTTTATTAGGAGCCCAGTGTAGACCTCCACTTTCAAGTACAGTATTCAAAATATATCCATTAGCCGGGCGCCCGTGGCTCACGCCTGTAATCCTAGCAACTCAGAAGGCTGAGATCTGAGGATCGCAGTTCAAAGCCAGCCCAGGCAAGAAACTCCATGAGACTCTTATGTCTCCAATAAACCACTAGAAAACCGGAAGTGGCTTTGTGGCTCAAGTGGTAGAGTGCTTGCCTTGAGCTGAAGAGCACAGAGACAGCACCCAAGCCTAGAGTTCAAGCCCCACAACCAACCCCCCACCCCCAAAATCCATTAGTGTAACTCAAATTACTGCTTAGTTCAGCTATAATGCATGCTTGTTTATTTTGTCTGTCCGTTGCAATGTTGGGAACATGGCCTAATACCATATATCCCAGCCCAATAGTTAATCTTGTAAATAAAAACCCTATGAAATTATCATCCCTTTCCATTTTTTCAGATGGGACAACTCAAAGTCATATATTCATCTGCGATACTTATCATGATTGCACCAATTCCAGCTTCATTTTTAATAGAAGTAAAATAAGGTATCATGGATAATGTACTGTTTAGCTTTGCTTCCTCAATGCAGAAGGTATTCTCCAGCAGGAAAACTACTGCTGTTTTTTAGCTTTCTCTTCTAGTACTTACTCCGTGTTGCTAAATACTATTCCTGGCTGTGAGTTTCTAAGTCGGTTTTACATATGCTAGACAGCACAGCATCCAAATGAATTTCTCATTCCACAAGTTTCTCAAACCTAGCGTCTGTTTTGTTTTACTTTTGGAGACGTGTCGGCAATACTCTGCCAAATTATCCCAATAGCTTTTCCTTTTCCTATTCTGATTTTTAGATATAAAATAGCTTCTCAGGAAGGAAAAAGATGAACGGGGTCACATCAATTAAGATGCATTATTCTTATAAACTGATTTGTTGAATGGCAACTCCTCTGTACAACTACCTAAAGAAAATAAAAATAACCCAGCACTGGTGGCTCACACCTGTAATCCTAGCTAAGGCTGAGATCTGAGAATCAAGGTCAAAGCCAGCCCAGGCAGGAAAGTATGTGAGACTTATCTCCAATTAACCAGCAGAAAACTGGAAGTGGCACTGTGGCTCAAGTAGTAGAACATAGCCTTGAGCTGAAAAGTGCTCAGGGACAGTGCCCAAGCCCAGAGTTCAAGCCTCATGACCGGCAAAAAGAAAAAAATGTCAAGCTTACCTAGCTTGGTAAGTCCACTGATATGGTAAAATTCAGGCTGGATGTATACTAAGCATGTATAAGCCCTGGGTTCAAGCTCTAGTACTATAACTATTATATATACTATATAATATTATATAGTATAATACATACAAATGATTATTTCCTGGAGACAGAATCTTATGGAATACATAATCTTGTGGAATATCATATATATCATATGTACATTATATGATATGTTATATATGTAGTAATTATATGCAACAACATAATATGTGTGAACAAAGTTGAGTGTTTTATTATACATATAATTCTATGT